GTGTGTGTGTGTGTGTGTGTGTGTGTGTGTGTGTGTGTGTTTCTCTTGGCAGGGATCACCACTGTGCTCACCATGTCCACCATCATCACCGGGGTCAACGCCTCTATGCCGCGGGTGTCCTATATCAAGGCGGTGGACATTTATCTGTGGGTCAGCTTTGTTTTTGTCTTCCTGTCGGTGATAGAGTACGCCGCCGTCAACTACCTGTCCACCGTGCAGGAAAGGAAAGAGAGGAAGCTCAGGGAGAGAGTAAGTGTTGCTGGGTTTTTTTGCCGTTTAAATAATTAATGGAGCGTTTAACCTGGGACATGTTGAAAAATGCGCTTTCATATTGGCTCCTGCGGTGATTATGTGCTGCACTGCACTTAGGCAAACAAATTACCAGAGGAAGATTAAAATATTTGTTTTGAAGGCCTCAGCAAACAACAATGTACCCAAGGGGGCATTTATTAAAGCCAATAAGAATTTATTAAAGCCAATAAGAACTAAATTGTTTCGCTTTCAGATCAGTTTTTTTCCCATATGCAGAACACATACTGTTAAAAAAAAAAAAACTGCTTGTTGCCTGGAGGAAGATTTGCTCTTCTACAATGTGCAAAAGACCGAAACTAAGAAGAAAAAATGTAAACGGATAACGGATGGTTGGATGACGCAAATTCAAATCTCAAGACTTATTTTCCATCTTAAATGGCCTCACGGAATGGTGAAAATTCAAACTAAAACCCATATTACATGTCACATACTTGGCACAGGCAAGAAAGATTAATATAATGTCGTGAGTACATTTTCCCCAGGGGAAAAATATTGAAATAATCTACTCCTCGCTCACTCACCATCATAAAATACCTTTTTTAGCTGTGCTTTTTAAAGCAACTTTTGCATATATTGCATCATACACGTGTGTAGTAATCATGCTATATCACTAAATTAAATTAAGATACAGTACAATAAAACTACTCACTCTTTGATGACGTGACGGAAGTGGAGTGAGGCTTCCGATGACGTAATGCATTGTGCTAATCAATGCTAAAAACTAAATTCAACCGCGACCCTAACGAAGCCAGGCGCCATAAAAAAAATAACATAAAAAAAAAAACAAAAAACTGGTTGGATATGTAATATTAAAAGACAGCTCCAAATTGGTACAGGCAATAAGGAATAATATAATAATCTGGTATGTTCGTTTGCAATACATATTTTTAAAATTGCATCACTTTAAAAGCTTCTCTCTGGGCCATGGCCAATTATTGGTGGGACTTCTTTTCATGGATATTACATTTTGTTTTCATCTGCCAAATGCAAAAGACAGATGCAAAGAGGTTTACCTCATCATAAAAAAATAAATAAATAAAAAATCAATAAAATGATAAATCCCATGTTTTGATATGGTTGCTTGCTTGTGTGATCAGGCCCTATCCTAGCCATGACTGGTTAGCTGGGATAGGAAATGCATGGTCGTTTGTTTTCATATCTGCTTACGTTAGCGGCTAAATTTTACACCTGTGAGACAGTTACTTTAATATGACTTATGTTTTGCACAACTCATTCTTTTTGCCATCCATCCATCCATCCATCCATCCATCCATCCATCCATCCATCCATCCATCCATCCATCCATCCATCCATCCATCCATTTTCTGATCCGCTTATCCTGACAAGGGTTGGGGGGCGTGCTGGAACGAACCTATGCCAGTTGTCTCTGGGCAGTCGGGGGGGGGGACACCCTGAACTGGTCGCCAGCCAATCGCAAGGCACACAACTATTCGAGCTTACAATCACACCTAGGGACAATTTTGAATGCCCAAGCAACCTGCCACGCATGTTTTTGGAATGTGGGAGGAAACTGGAGTACCCAGAGAAAACCCACGCAGGCACGGGGACGGGGAGAACATGCAAACTCCACACAGGAAGGCCAGAGCCGGAATCAAGCCCTGCACCTCTGCACTGTGAGGCGGATGTGTTAACTAGTCGCGAACCGTGCTGCCTTCTAATTGCCCTTTAATTTGAAATACTTTTACAAAATTAGATTTAAAAGACATGCACCATTTAAATTGAAATTACCAGCATCGTAAATTTATAAATACAAAGCAACTAATTTGGGCAACTCAAAATTAATTTAACGAAGGTGACACACCAGCCCTACTCTGTCCGGACAGAACGGCAATTTCAAATTAATTCACCTTGTTCCTGTTTCCTTATTTAATTATTTATATTAATTTCTATTGACTTTTCTGTCCTTTTGACTTAAAATTAAGGATTAATAGTGATCATTTGTTTGAATTATATTGATAGTGAATTTCACCCGATTTTTGACGCCCCCTAGAGTCCATGGCGTCCTTAGCATCAAAGTAGGAAGTACAGTACTGTAATTTTTTTTTTTTTTTGTAGTCTCATTCGACAGTTAATTGTTAACTTTATACTTTGAGGTTCCATTCGTACGTTGCCGACACAACCGGAGCTAGTACGGAAATCGGAACGCGTCCTGGTCTATCACGAGCCTGCGCTAACGCAATCTTCAATTTTTGTTGGAGAAATAGCGGCATCAGATCCTCTCTGCCATAATTATAAAATAATTAAATGAAAAATATTAATTATGGCGGTAAATGAATGCGCTTTCTCGTGATAAGGGACAAGATATTCAATAAATGTTCCTTGATGGCAACAGTTCGAGTCAGCCATATGAAATAATCCTCTTTACATGATTTCCTCGAGTTTTAAAACTAATTAAAGTCAACATTACAAGTCAAAAATTCAGCCAATAAGCAACGTGAACAGAATTCTAAACTAGCACGTGTGTATGAATAATATATGATGTTAATTTGCAGTGACTGTTTTTGAAATTGCATCAGTGTAAGCCTCTCTCGGGGCCATGGCCAAGCAATGCAGGCCTGGAGCTCACCCAGACTACAATATTTCACGTGGCAAATGCCAAGCATATGGAGCCAAACTCACCCACGTACCCCCGAGAAACATTTACAGCGTAAACATCGCCCAATAAATATCTCCAGTTATTTATAGGCCTTGGTAGAAGATAAACAAACGAATAATCATGATAATTTTTTTTCACATTTGCTTGCCCAGCTGCCCTGCACGTGCGGCATCGGCAACCCGGACGACATGATGATCGACCCTCAAATCACCGGATACGGCGCCATGGATATCAACACCACGGGGAACTACAGCATGCCGGAGAACGGCGGGCGCCAGGATCGAATTCTGGCTCAGGTGGCCCTGAACGATCCGCAACTCACGGGTCAGGTGAAGCCCTCCAGGGGCTACGTGAACATATGGATCGACACGCACGCCATAGACAAATACTCGCGTGTGGTCTTTCCCGGAGCTTACATCCTCTTCAACGTCATCTACTGGTCCATCTACTCGTAAGGTGCACGTACGGGAGCAATGTGCGCCGTGGCGCGCCAAACTGAGAGGAACTGACTCATGGCACGTGTAGGACTTGGTGGAAACGCCACTGAGAACGAGGATCACCGCCTTCTCAACAGCAGCCTCTTACAACCGCTCCAAAAGTGTGTGTGTGTGTGTGTGTGTGGGGGGGTGTATGTGCGTGCTGTCATGCTGTAACTGTTGTGGCATTCACGGGAAGACGTTTGCTATCGCTTGATGTACCGCCTGCTATGACGGGTGAAAGCAGCACTTTTTCAGTCCGCGAGGAATGAACAGATGCAAACACCGCACAAATATGTTTCTTGTTCTATATTATGAGTATTAAATGTTTTGGGGGGGGGTCTTTGGTCACAATTGCTCGGAGGTTTTATTTGGACCCGAGCACCAGGCGACGTGAAGACTCTCTTCGAATTGCTCTCTTGGTTATTCTGCAGACAAAATTAATGGCCTTTTTGAGAGCCTCAACATGCCCGCTATTTATTTATCTATTTATTTATTTATGTATTTATTTTCATAAATGTGTTTATGCTGGTGAAAATTGATGTATTCTAGGGATACCCAGCTTCGCAGCCTGAAACTCACACAGGCATGCCTGGAGTGTGAGGCAACAGTAATGATCATAGAAAAGACACTGTTGTTGTGTTATCGTCTCTGATGTTTTATTATTGAAGCAACAGAACCATACATAAAAGAAGCTATCCTACGACATGGGTGGAGAATGACAACAACATTTGAAAGCGACTGAGAATTTACCATGGAAAAAATCAGAAGGGCCTGTGGATCACTACCTGCCGTGTTATCATTCTTCCAACAAACGACACATCTTTTTTAAACCTCAGTAAATATGTATCCATGTATGAGCACTTGTGTTCTGCCCTCTCAAACGTAGGGGGGAAAAAGAGAACATCAGTTTCACCGATCAACATGAAATGTGTGAAATTTGGCGGTGCTCCATAATAACAGCATGTGAAGGTTTTCGGATCAAGGTTTTTATGCTGCTGATTCTGATACCGATCACAAATTTCCGTCCCTTTATGATATAAAAATAACATTATTTCAAATACACAGTTCAGAAAATGTACAACCAGAGTCTGCTGCCGTAGTTTTCCACAGAAATGGGTGGCCGATCGATTGGAGCGCCACTAGAACTAGCACAAAAAAAAATCTCAAGGACCCCTGGGTGAAATTCATCTCTTGTGGTTCGAAATTACACCAATCAGCAAGAAATTGGATGGACATGTCTATCCTAGCAGGACAGAAGAAAAAGTCTCAAGGACCCTTATCCAAACTTGAACAGTAAATTGGCCATTTTGGGCATATTCTTGGGCTCCATCCATTTTTTTTCCAAGGGTATGTCCTCTTTAGGGTGAGCTGGAGTCACGGCATACCTTAGATCGGTTGTCAGTCAACTGCGTGGCATCATATTAACAAACCTTTATTTGCAGTCACATTCACACCTACAAACACATCGAGTCTGCATGCTTGTTTTTGAGATATTGGAGGAAGCATGGGAATGAAACACAAACTCCACAAAGGAGGCCCTGAGCCAAGATTCGAACACACAACCTCTCAACTGTGAGGCTGGCATGCTAATCATCAAAGTTTAATGATCATTTTGAGGATTAGCAATAAAAAAGTGGTGAGTCCCCATTCATCACTGCTTGTAGCTTTATTTTCTTTTTAGACTTTCATGGCAGGTCAGATCAACTGGTCTTACGGGTTGTATTTTTTCGGCCCACGTACCCGAGGTTGCCTGCCCCTGAACTGGAACACTGAGACACTGCATCATCTCTTTCTGCACACTTGCCAATCACTTACACAACACCGAGCCTCCTCATGACAATCAGCAAGTGAAATATGACTCGATGTATGTTTTCTTGTGTGACTTTCATATCAGTGCTTTGAAGCTACCACGTTGCATCTTGGTGACTGGAAAAAAAAAAAAAGCACTGGCTAATGTACCTAATCATTAAATGACTATTCTTGATTAAAACAAGGACAACTTAATTTCTCTGTTGAGTGTTGAGACTTGTGAGGGCTGCTGTCATCCTACCTGGATACTTACACTCACAACACATTTTGCTGCTTTACGAGTAAATTAATCAATCAATAAATAAATCAATAAAACTAGACCTGGCTGAGTTTAGTCAACCCTGGACTGGTCGCCAGTCAATTGTACAGCGCATACAGGTACAATCAAGCGTAAAAAACTACCACGTCTCAATTTTTGTGCTGGGGCAAGGCTTGTTTTGCCTGTTTGGGAGTTTGGCAGACGGCTCTGTGCCATCGTGAGCGTTCTGGCACACCAATGGCGTTTCCTTTGGACATATGCTCCACACACCTGACAATTTGGTGGCTGTAATTCATCAAAAGTTTACGGCGGCTGGAACCAGGTCAATTGGCTCAAAAAATCTCACGTGATTCTGGTGAATTTGACCGAGGGGCAGGCAGACAGAATGGGGGCTTTGTGTATGTTGTCTGGTGTATTGCGTCACATTTCATTCATAAAAAGATGTGCATGAGACCCTCTGAAACATTTCCACACAGACACGAAGAATCAGGTTGGAAGTCAGTCTCCAAGTATCGACTTCACAACCCATATCTGTGATCACCCTGACCAAATTTAGATCATCCGTGGATGTCTGCTTGCAGTTTCTTATGAATATACTTGTGATTGTCAAGGTGCTGCATTGAAGATGATGTCTGTGAGCTCCAAACTTCAACTAATGTTAATCCAAACATGAAATTTGAGGGTTTCACTTACAACTGTCAAATGGCTGCTTATTTTTGAGCCCTTGAAAATTGGAGTTCTCTGCTTGAAATGGCTTTCACACCTGAGCGCTAAATGTCATGTTTTTGTGGAACCTCTTAAATGGAAGATCAAAAGCGTCATTTGAATTATAATACACTGGCATATAAATGCAAATTCCTAAAAACTCTGCCATGAAATTACTTTTTCCTTTCTTTCCTTATTACTGCTTTATATGTAGTGTAGTGAGCTGTTGTGTCATGAGTTTTCGTCCGTTCTTTTGCTTCCGTTTGGCCACGTCAAAAAGTCCTCTCTCCCTTGGCTCAGCAGATGTGGGCCGCACGCCACATCTACAGCTGTTATAGGCAGAGCATGGCCACCCTCAGGGTGTACATCTGGGCTTCTTCATCGCCTGCACAGCCGAGGAAGAGGAGAAGGAGGAGGAGGAAGAGGAATGGCGTCAAGTGGACACTAAGTAAACAGGGAAACAACATGGCTAGAATAAGTATTCTTGTGCGACCGGCTCCTCTGGCATATTCCTCAGTGTGATTACACGTGTCTGCGTCAATGTAGAAGAAAGCAGGAAGTGCCTGGGGCGACGTGAACGGCACATTGCCGAAGTCTCAAGGACAATGCAAGATTGGACGCATTCACTCATGTCCACTGTGTACCTGTTAATTAATGGAGTGCACTCCTTGGCTCCAAGCAGCAGAGGCCATGTTGATTGAATGCAAATTTTAGTTAAGATTGCGCTCAAAGGATGGAAATCATTTTTTATCAAATATGATTGTGACGTTATTAAAGTATTATTTATAAAACGTCACGCATGAACCTTTATTCAAATTCTTACTAAAATTAAACGTGTTCTTTCTTGGCCCGTGTGTGTTTTCATTCCAAACCACAACAGCGTCTAATTAAATCGAGCGTGGTGGTGGAGGACCCCAAAAAGCAGCCAGGAGGGAGGAGCACGGTCAACTTGACAAACTGTGCTAACAAAACACTGAGAAAACTAAATCCAGAACAAAGTCCTGAAAACAAAAAGTAACAAACATAAACCCATGGCAGAACACTAAGCAACAGAAGCAGTGAAAGCAACAGAAACAATGACCGAGCACCGAGTGGTCGGGCTGGAGGTCCTTTTTCACAGAAAACCTACTAATGACATGATGACCAACAGGTGTGCTGCTGTAGGAGGAGCCCTACAGAGCCACCTGTTGGTCACAAACATATCCACCGTGACAATAACGATGTTGATGATGAAGCATATTTTACGTATCATTCAAGTCACAAGCTTTTTCCGCAACGCTTTTCTGTTGATTTCATACAGCTTTGCCAGTCGGACAGAATGTTGGAATTGACGTGGGCGAGGATACTGAGTACAAGACAATTACGGAGGGTACGAAAGGAGAGATGGGACGAACGATACCTAAAATGGCTGGCATTCTACCATGCCGTCGGCCTGTTCGCGATTCTTCTTCAATCCAAGCTGAATGTCTGCCCTTCAAACAACATGTTCCTTGGTTAGCTGTACAGTACCAGACAACACTGCGCATACAAAAACACAAAGGTGTCACATGATGGTATGAGACATACGCTTAGTTGGCAACCGGTCGCCATGGTAGCAGTCCTAAAGCAAGCCTCGACCTTAGCCTTCAGTTTGTAAAACGCTCCTTTAGCTCAGGCGTGTGTAGAAAGAACTCCATATCTGCACATGTGGGCGTCATGCTGAGTGTCGCCCCACCGTGCTTGATGTTGAGTGAAGGAGAAGGAGTACCATTCATATTGTATGGATGTCGATTCTCAAGTTCAAGTCAACTTTATTGTCAAATGCGCTACATGGGCAACATACAGCCTAAATGAAATTTCATTCCTCTCAACCACAGGAGAGGGAGAGGAGCCGCTGCGGGTGCCCGCCCGCGCCGCCATCAAAAGAACAGTTAATATAAAATGACAAAATAATACAACACAACACATAAGACACAAACAGTCGTGCAATCTCGACCACTTTTTCTGCATACACTTTGTTGTTTGAAGCGGTTATAGATGACAGAGGAGCGAATCAAAGTGTCCTTTCCCCAGTGGATCAAAGACGTCATGCTGAAAATATGCACACGTCTGCTACAAGCTAAGTTTGAAAGCAACAAGAAGCTGTAGCGTCCATTGACGAAAAAGAGATTGGCTCCCATGTAAATCCGCTTCAATTCCAAGCTCTGCGCTGACGCTTCTTTCTTCTCATCATCGGCTCCACAAGTCATCCATCCATCCAGCCGCAGAGTGTCCAACAGCACCGAAATTTGTGCTGAACAAAGCGGGGCTGTGAAAAACGCTGCCCATTTCAACAAAATTTCCACAAGCGCACCGGGGATGTCCAGCAACGACAGTCAGATAGTGCCGACATTCCTCCCAATCAAAATCAGTGCTGGTATACGCGTGCTGCCGAGAAGGCGCAACCACAAAGCACAGATTCTTCTTTTTTGACGATTGTCGTGGCCAAAAATGCTGAAAACAATTCACATCAGGTCCACACGACGAAACAACAACACAATGTGACACAACAAATCACAAAAACAACCAAAAAAAAAAAAAGCAAGGCTCTGGAAGAGCACTTGCCGACGGCTGCCTACTCGGGCGCCATCTTGGAAAAAAAAAAAGTGATGGCATTGTCTCATCCTGATAGATGGATGGAAAAAGGCCAAAAATTGGAAAGGCATGCTTTTCAGTGGACATACCGTAATAACAAAATCATGTTTAGAAATTTAGAGAGCGAGTACAACACACACACACAACCAATGGTTATTTTTGGTGTGTCCTGAGGGGATTTAGTACTGCCTGCGGCCATTCACTCGGATGTTTCCAAATGTGTGAATTGTATGTGTGGAGAATGAGAAACAGGAGGAGAGTAGAGGAATTTGCTCCTTTGGGAGGAAAAAGAAAGCGTGCTCTTGTTATTTAAAGTTCACTCGCAAGATGACCAGCGAGGTCTCCATGGCAACAATTTAGGAACATTCTTGGATGGTGATGGAAGGCCTCCTATTTAAACATAATAGATTGAATGCACTCTCCTCTATTTGACTGTTTTTTTATTCTTTTCTGTGTACTGAACTTTGAGGAACTTGCTTAATGTAACTATGACAACAGTCATATCCAGTCAAGGAAATGTTTCTCAACCAGGACTTAGGTATTCAGCTCTTTAAATTCACTGATCCATTCATCTATTTTCTTGTCATCATTAGGATCACAAATGAGCTGGAATTGAGCCAGATGACTTTGGGGCGACAGGCGGGGTACCACCAGGACTGCTCGCTGGGAAAATACAAATAATTATTAGGTTGGCATCGACAAATGGGTTTACAAAAAAAAAAAAAAAAAAAAATCTCCCCTAATTTGTTTGTTTTTTTCCACACACAAAAAAAAATATCCAAGCGAACCAAATGGCTTTTCAACATTGCAACTTTTTTCATTGCTCTTGCTGCATCCTCTGCCAGTAGGTTTGACTGGCGTATAATCTTTTCATCATTGTTCACTGGTTTGCCACTGAAACAACCTAAGTGGGTTGCGCTGGCATGTGATCATCATTCCATCACTGTGTAAGGCACCTTCAGCCGTCGGTTTGAACCATTAATTAATGTGAATCGCAATAGAGTGGAATGCAATTTTTAAGCAGCAAAGTCTTTTGCAATTTTGGGGGGGAAAAAAAAACTCTGCTTCATTTTATAACATTTATGTATACTAAATCTGATATTGTTTGTTGCAATACAGATCCATTTATTGCTTGCATTTGTTAAAAAGTACATGGGAAGAGGCCCTTGAAAAGAAAATTGCATATTAAATTGCTATCACACCATTGAGTACAGTTTTTGGTGCAGTTGGCTTTACTGTTCCTGATCCTGTATGGCAAGGGTGTCAAACTCATTTTTTGTCGCGGGCCACTTCGGAATTACGGCTTCCCTCGGAGGGCCGATGTAAAATCTCAATGTTATTTCTTGGCCATGACATTTTGGTACAGATTTCAGCAAGGATCATGAAAGTTGACATACATGATTTGCTCCCGTGGGCCGGATCTGGCCCTCGGGCCTTGACTTTGAGAGCTGTGCTGTATGGCATCCCCAGGCATTATTTTTGATGAGGAAACTGTATTTGAGTCTTTTGATATCATCAGCCAATGGGGGCAGTTCTGATCGAGTCCATTGAACACCACACAGCAACAAAAAACTGACAGCTCAGCCCAATCCAGTGGTACATGCTTTGTTTAACAATTTATGAAAGTTTGAAAAAATGATGAGCATAAAGCCTGTGTCATCAAATTAGAGTACGACTGTGTAATTTGTTTGGTTGTTTTTTTGTTTTTTTGTTTTGTTTTTTACTATTGCACAGCGATACT